GCTCTTACACCAGCTTCCATGATGGAATCTGCGCTTCTAATAACTTTAGGAGCAAATGCAAGTGGATTTCGAGATTCAATCTGTTTGCGGGTAGCCAAGACAGTGTCTTCATGGATAGGTTTGTTGAAGCAATCTACACATGAACATGGCTCTATGCAATAAACCCCAGCAGCAAAGCATTCACAGTAACTGCAGAGAGACAAGAGATTCAAACAAAAGTTAACTACTTCAAGCCAATAATTTAATTTAGTTTAATTTTTTGAACCAGAAAAGATTGAAGAGGAGCTAGGAGTATGCAGCTTACAGCTTCAAACACTTTGACTTTTTGCAGTTGCATCGCTTACATGACTCACCCTCTCCAGCTTGTTCTAACATACGCCTGCGCATTTATGCCAACAGATAAGTAAAAAGGACAAAAAAGTAGATACACAAATCTGTTATGTAACTTTCCTCAGGAAGAAACCTACATTTTTTTCTTCTGGCTGCCTGGATTCAACTCTTCGAACACCAATGCTTTCGGAATTTCTTCTACAGCTTGACCTTCCCCTGGCTCACTTTCTGCTTGGTCCAAAGTTTCTTGCACATTGTCTTGGGAGTGAATCGGAGTGGTAGAGCCTGAGAAACTCTTTTGAATCTCTACAGATGTTGAATACTCATGTATGATGTTGATCTCAGTGTCCCTTGAGGCCATTGCAACGGCGTTTAGATGGAGACCAATACCGGGTACAACACATCTTGCAGAAGATTCACAAGCCGCCTTATTGTCACAAGCAGTTTGCTGATCATCAGCTATATCCTTCTTCCGCTTCCCTGGCACCTCAAAGTCCAGACAGCGTCTCCGCATGCTACCACGATGTAAGTTAGAGACAGACTACCACAAACAAACACAGCACAAAATAACTATTTCAGAGACATTGATTAATCAAAGAGCCTAAAGATAAACTAATATTCACACTCGTGAGAGAAAAAAACAAGTTAACTTTGAAATGTATTCCTAAATTCACCTCGTTGGGAATCACAGCTAAAGGCTCATTTTCATTGCTGGATCCACTGACTGGAACATCTTTGGTGATATCATGCTGCTTCGTTGACTTGACACCAGCGCAGAAACGTCTTTCTGAGCTAGATATTTTATCCACAAGGCATCTAAAAGCTTCCGAATCATTCGGAGATCGAAATATTAACAGTTCAGCCGCATCAGCGATCAAACGACCACCACCAGGAGTGTTATTTTCTTCCTGAACAGCAAGAATCTTCTGAAGACGCATTTTGACATCCTCAGAAGACGAGACATTCTCTCCTCGAGGAGAATCAGACGGAGCTAGCAGTTCTTCAGTGACAAAATCTCCAGTGGATGGTGAATCATCAGGAGTTTGGCTGTCTGACTTGAGGATTTGTGGCAACTCACAAGACGTTTCATTGGAAGT